CAGAATACCTATCTGTATTCTTAAGTTGGTAATTAAAGTAAAACTCACTTTTTAACCTTTTGATACTTTATGACAATAAAAAGAATTCTTGGGTGAAAAAAAGTTGAGTTGAACCACTGAACACTCAAAGGCTTTGTGTATCCATGTGAATGTTGAGTACATACAATCAAGTTAATATTACGACATTGTCCTACTATGATTACATTTAGCATATACATGAACACCAGGCATGAGTAAACATTTTTTACTTTCAAGTTTGGCCATCATTTAGCCTGGTCTTTATGTTTTGGAATTCTATATTTCAAGTAATTCCTTCATTAATACAATAAAATGTGAGACCCTGCTGTGTATAAGACTATTCTTTTTCTAGAAAATATGTTTCAGAGGAGGATGAATTACCTAATTCCACTTGACTCTGAATGTAGAATTCTGGTTCCCAGGTATATTGATACTAACAGGAAAAAGGGTTCTGTCTGTACTGATTTTGCAAAAATACCTGGTAAAAACTAAGGTGAGATAAACATGTTTCTCTAACATATCACTTCTTAGAGGCTACAGTATGACTGGGGCACATTTTGACTCTCTGAGAAGGAGATATGGTACTTAGCATTGCCCTAAGTGTTTTGAACATGAAACTCTGCACAGTGGAATCCTTGACTGCAGGATGGAGGAACATATTACCCAAAACCAATTTTCCTATTTGTCTCCCTCAGAGGAGGGTAAAACCTGAATTGTGAGTGAGGAAAGGGACACCTGCCTATTAAGCCAGCACCCCAGGCTGGACTCCAAAGTGTTTTCCTTACACATAGGATGATACACATGGATGATACAGATGGGTATTCTGAACAGCGCGAAGTCAGGAACAGAAGAGGCTGGGTGAGGTGGAAGGAGACCCTTCCTCCATGTTACAGTTTGAGCTGTCCTTTCAGTTTCATATAATTTATTCTGTAGTATTTACATTGTATCAATTCTTTATATTTATCTATCAACGATGATTAATACATAAAAGAAAGAATGGTGAGCACAAACCAGGGCCTGATCCTAATGGACGAGCTGATGGCCAATTCTTTGGTCTGAGGAGGTTGAAGAGCTGCCCCTAGAACAGTCTTCTCTTCATTCTGTGGGACTTCGATGCACCATCTACTCGGGGCTCCCTCGGCCAACTATATCACTCAGAAATACTTTGAACTGCTTTTCATTCATTGCTACCCATTTTTGTATCCCTTGTTAAGATCTCAAATGTTTTCCTATATTTCTCCAGTATTATTCCTACCTCCAGTGACACTATTTGTGGCAGTGATTTGTGTCATAGGATTATTTCTTAGTACATCTCCCACATTGGCCCCTAAAAGTGGCCCACCAAGGGCAGTGGTGGGAGCTGTTGGCCTCCGGTACAGTCAGTTAGCGGGTGCATTGTCTGCAGAAAATTTAAAAACAATAATAAAACCAGGTTGGTCTGCTTTTTATTGTCATAATGCTCCAGTGATTCTAAACAATGCCAGTATAAAAATATTCCTACCTGCAGGGGCAGATGCCCCCTCCCCACAAATGGCTCTCTATTAGAAACTTGTGTTGGAGAAATTAAGCATAATTTATATTTTATGCTTTCCCTTTACCTATGTCAAGGACAATTTAGTTTATCTTACTTGGTAAAAATGGAATTATTTAAAATTAGGAATCTTAGCCACACAAATCTAAACCCAGTTCGTCATTATGTTGTGTCTCTCCTTGATTACTTTTCTGAAGGAAAAAGAACTGATGTAATTAAAAAAAAACTAGGCTTGAAATTCATTAAATCCTAGGCTTTTTTTTTTCTTTCAAAGAGGCAGGGCTGGCACAGTGGCTTAGCTCTGTAATCCCAACACTTTGGGAGGCTGAGGTAGGAGGATTGCTAGAGCCAGGAGTTCGAGACCAGCCTGAGTGCCACGGCAATACTCTCTCTGCAAAAAGTTAAAAAATTAAAAATAAAAAAAATTAGCTGGGTGTGGTGGTGTGAACCTGTAGTCCCAGCTGCTTGGGAGGCTGAAGTGGGAGGATCATTTGAGCCTGGGAGTTTGAGGCTGCAGGGAGTTGTGATTGTGCCATTGCACTCCAGCTAGGTGACAGAGTGAAACCCTATCTCATATAAATTAAATAAATAAATAAAATAAAAGAGGCAGCATTATATAGTAGGATTTACTCTTGAATGCAAAGACCTTACTGATCCAGGGGATGGCATTAGATCTCTGGGTCTTAGTTTCCCTCTTTTAAAGTTAGGCTGATGTACTTAAAGGTCATTAGTGAAGGAAATAGCCAGATTGTTTAACAACATGGTCAATCCAACTGATTATGCCAAATTAAGGTAATTTTTAAATATCTGGATTGAAGGAATAATTGATTATATAGCCATTACAGCCTTGTCCATTTTCAGAAATATAAATATGTAAGGCCTACCAATTCTCAAATACTAAACTCTTGGCATTTGAAGATGGTCTGTCAGATTTCTTAAACTCTTAAATGGGAAGTGATATGGTTTGGCTGTGTCTCCACCCAAATCTCATTTTGAATTGTATTTCCCATAATCCTCACCTGTTATGGGAGGGACCTGGTGTGAGGTAATTTAATCATGGGGGCAGTTACCCTCATGCTGTTCTCATGATAGCGAGTGAATTCTCATCAGATCTGATAGTGTTGTAAGTGGCTTTCCCCCTTTTGCTTGGCACTTCACCTTCCTGTGGCCATGCGAAGAAGTACATGTTGGCTTCCCCTTCTGCCATGATTGTAAGTTTCCTGAGGCCTCCCCAGCCATGCTGAACTGTGAGTCAATTAAACCTCTTTCCTTTATAAATTACCCAGTCTCAGGCATGTTTTTATTAGCAGTATGAGAAGGGACTAATACAGGGAGAGAAGGAATTCCTTTATGACCCAGAAATTCTCTTGTAGACTTTAGGAGGTAAAAGCCCTCAGAAAGGCATGTTGTTGGCAGGTGGCAGATGCATTATAATCAGGCTGAAATTGGGCCACCATAAAGATTTTGCTACTCTTGCTGCCTCCGTATTTTGCCGTGTTGCTTTCTTTAAAGTTTCTCCCAGATCACTTCTCTATTTTAGAACCCTCCAGAGTATACAAATGTATTCAGAATTCATGGTGGACATCACTGAATCTTTCTAGTTTTCACCTGGGGAATGGAAGCTTTAGACATGGTTCCCAAGGATCCGTGAATGGTGGCTGCTTTTTTTTTCAGTGATTGAAAAGACTGATGTTTATTCACTCATTAAAAAGGAAATTGTTTGCTTAGTTTGTGCCAACACCACTGTAGGGGCTGCAATACAACAGGGAGCAAGATCTCTGCCTTTGAGGAACTTGCCTTCTCCTTATGGGATGGGTAGAGCAAAAAACAGATGGAGCCAAGATGTGCAAAGGTAGTTTTTAGATTCATTTAGAGTCCTTACACAATAAACCATACCCGCCTCCCCACCCAAACATTGAGCATAGCAATGTAAAAGTAATGTAGTTTTAGGGGTCAAAGTCCCTACAAACATTTCCAGATGTCAGTTGTACCTTATAGTTTTGACTTAAACTGAGCAGCCTCCCTGCCTACCTTTCAGGTCAGGCCAGTCCAAATTCCCTAGGTCTGGCCTTCATCACTTTCCCTAAGTCAATATGGTCAGAAGCTTTGTTTCTTGTTCTGTATCAGTGCTTCCCAAACTTGGCTATGCCTCAGAATTACATATAAAGTCACTTAACGTACCAGTTTTAAAAATATGTATTATAAATATATATGTGTTATATATTTAAATAATATGCATATTATTAATTTTTTAGGCATGTGAATTGGAATTTCTAGGAAAGAGGGACCTGGGATCTGTATTAGCCACAGTGCTCCAGGTGATTCTGATTAATCCAGTTGGCTTTCTTTTTTCTTTTTTTTTTTGAGATGGAGTCTTGCTGTGTCGCCAGGCTGGAGTATAGTGGCACAATCTTGGCTCACTGAAACCTCCCTCTCCCAGGTTCAAGCAGTTCTCCTGCCTCAGCCTCCCGAGTAGCTGGGACTATAGGCATGCACTACCATGCCCAGCTAATTTTTTTTTTTGTATTTTTAGTAGAGACGGAGTTTCACCATGTTAGCCAGGATGGTCTCAATCTCCTGACCTCGTGATTTGCCCACCTCAGCCTCCCAAAGGGCTGAAATTACAAGTGTGAGCCACCATGCCTGGCTGGCTTTATTTTTCAAACCAGATTTTAGGAGCCAGTCACTACCAGATTAGTTTTTTCAATGCAAGGTTCCTCCAATATTCTCTTCTGAATGCTCAGGACTTTACTATGTAATAAGGGATGGGGTATTTGAGGAGTTCTGCCTACCCTTCTAATGCCGTCTCTCGTTGCTTCATTACTGGTGCCCTCTGCTTCAGGGAAATCCACTTGTTGACTTTTTTTTGGATGCCATCTGCCCTCCTGCTTTCAGAAAGTCTTCTTCATGCCTTTCCTCACATCCTCAACATCCTCTTCCGTCTTCTCTAGTCTCATCCATTTTTCAAGACCCACTCAAGTCTGACCTCTGAAATGATAACCTTGCCACCCTGCCAACCTGCATATCATTATTTGTGGATTTCCCTAACCTTTATCCTATGGGTCACTCACTTGTCATTATATTGTAGAAATTCATGATCATGAGTTTTAGTTCAACCTTGGGAAGGCTTCTAAGTGACGTACACACAGCATATCATTTCTAGCATATCATTAATTATAAAGGAGTAAAGAACGTTTATCAATACTCTTTAGAAATGAGTGATTCTATTTTGTATTTCAAAAAGCATTTTATAAATTCAGCAAAGGCATGCACTATCCCTGTCTTATTCACTAGAACGGTCTATAATTATTTGTTGAACTAAGTTAGGAAAAAGCCTGTATTATTGTTTCAAAATCTTTGGGGTTGCTTTTTGTTAATTTTGTGGTGCCTGCCATAATGAGAGTTTGAAGCTTTTCTTTCCACTCTTGTGTCGTTGTTATTTCCTTTTTAGCACCCGGCAGGAGTTGAAGCTGCCCACTTGACTCTATGCCTGGTCCCTGTCCCGGAATGATGCTGTTTATCATGACTTCAGAAGGTACAGAGAGTAACCTAAATTATCCTGTTATTAAAGTAATAGATAAACCTAGAGGCTACTCCACAATGAACATTCCATTAGCTCAAAAAACCCACTGTGCTCCATAAAACTGATCTTGTTGGCTATCTGGGCTTGTTTATTGTTATGGGATTTAAGGCAACTTTGAAGATCTGACTTTGATTCACTAGAGAAATTTCTGTTTTATATTCTTTCCAAGTACACTAACTTAAATTCTTCTGATTTTGATTTTGTTCATGCCTTGTACTCTATCTTCATTGGATTTGATCTTTCTGATAACTATCAGAAATAGCCCCGGGTATATTTGAAAGCAGACATTCCATCAATTCTCACAGAAAATTGCATAAGAAAAAAAAAAAAAAACACTTGGGAAAGCAGTAGCCTACACATACCTGGGTTTAGAGGGCATCTTTTGCCGTCAACTTTGTAGCTCTAAGTATTCTTCTGTTATACACATACCTCCTGTGAATGGCAGCCAGACTTTCCTTACTTCGGTGTGCATATTTACTGGAAGCAGAAAAGCGGTTTCTTGACATATGTTGCCTATTTGCTAAACTACACAATGACCACCGTTTGGTTCTACATGGACCCTTGAGATTCAGGCTGGTTAATGCAGAGCTGAAAGCATATACCCTGATACTTTACCTGATAGCAACTGAAGGTATCATTCATTAATTTATTCAATATTTATTTATGGGGTGCCTTTTCTAGGTCAGATACCATGGGAGGACCTATGATGCAAAGATGAACTAGACAGGTACATGTTTGTTCCAAGGAAGTTATAGTTTATCCACATAGACACGAAGCAGGGGATTATACTAGTGATAATTTAGTTACTCTTGTGGTAGTGGTATGAAGTTAAAAAGCTAGTGCATAATGAGAAAATATAATAAGAAGCCCCAACCTCATTGGAGATGGTGAGTTGCAGGGAGGAGTGAGAGTGGGAAGTGTTCAGAACAGCTTCCCAGAATGGGTATTATTTACTCTAGGGGTTGAAAAATAAGTAGGAAACAGCAAGGCGGAGAGAGGAGTTCGCAGCTCCACAAATGTGAGAATAACGAATGCTTAGAAAACCTACATTGTTATGATAAAATCTCAGTTATGCTTATCTAATCCTATATTTATTCTGTCACTGATACTAAGTGAGAAGGACTGTATGATCTGTAAAATCTGTTTAACCTGGTCAGAATAAATTATGAAGAACGAGAGTGGTGTTAAGGAAACTCTGAAGGTCAGGAGATGAGGCAGAGATTATAAATGTTTGTAAGAAAAAACTTCCTGTTATAGATATCCCGTGAGGGTTCTAACCCATTCCAAACAGAATTATTTACACTAAACAAATGAATTTTTTTGGATATAGTTGTTGACATATGTGGATTATAATATAATTTAGCACTATAGATCAAATTGAACCTAATATATTATCCAACTATAACAAAATACGTAGCATTTTGGGTGTTTAATAATGTAACTATTGCATTCTCTATATGTCTAAAATAATATAAGAAAGAAAAACAGAAAGAAGGAAAGTCAGATACAAAGGAAAGTCAGACAGAAGGAAAGAAATAAGCAAGATGGGTAGATTTAACATTTTATGAAAAATGTGTTTTAAATCAAGTAACATCATTTTTAATTCTCCCACTGAAAGTTAAATACTCATTAAGAACTGGAATCATTTTACATTGACAAGAACAATAAACATATATTAAGTGGAAAATAATGTATACTTTTCTCTAGCCCTCACTTTGTAGCTACTAACCCTTTAGGTGAATCCAAAATACAGTTCCTATGTAAAATTCACTTGTGTTGCCTCTCAATTATGGATGCTTTACCCGACTTAAGGGCCAAGAGAGAGAAAAGGAAAATAGTATTGTAGTTGCAGTCAAATGTCGGCTAGAGCTGCAGTCATCTGAGCTAACTACTTTACTTATGTTATTGAACTTCATTATAATGGCAACTTCTTTTTTTTTACATGTGGGAAAACCAAAGGTCAGAGAGATTAACTAATTTGCTGAACATTTGAGCTAGAATTCAAATGCAGTCCAAAGCCCATTTTATATCTTCTAAATTAAAGAAAAAAATGTTTTTCCCCCTGGAGAAAGACTGCTTGATTTTCTTTATTATTTGGGGATTAGTGGCTGTCTATAAAATTCTGGAAAGTCTCATAAAGGTAAACTTACATCTGGTGTGTGGTTCAAAGAGAATTTTCTTAACTAGACGGTAAAATGTTCCTTCAAAGGGCTGAGCATAGAAACATTGCTAATGACTTTTTGTTCATATTTCCTCTTAAATTTTTATTTTATTACAATTATAAATATGTTTATTCTAGAAAATTAGAAATACATAAGTGCACAAAGAAAACCTCAACATGTCAAAGATAACCATTAAAAAAATTGATAACATTTTATCCTATCCTATTTCCTTTGAATACATATTTCTAAAGATGTATTAGATACTAAATGTAAAATTTTGTATTATCTTTCACTTAATACCACAAGACTTTTTATCTATTGCCAGAAACTGTTTATAAATATAACTTTTAATTTGTGCATATTGTTTCATTGTATAACTTAGAAATATGGGAAATACTTTATAAATCAATTCTTATGACTTATGTTTAGAACTATTAAAGGAAATATAAAGTATAATTAGATTTAACATTTTCTTTGAGTGAAACCCTTCTAAAAATAATTAACTTGTTTCAGATTAGGTCATTTGCCAAATGGGTTGAATTTGCAGCAAACCTCCTCAGTCAGGCTGTGTATCTTTCATCCATGTTTTTGGAGAAAATTTTGCCTTTCAATTCTTTTTTTTTTGGAACGGAGTCTCGCTCTGTCGCCCAGGCTGGAGTGCAGTGGCTTGGTCTTGGCTCACTGCATGCTCTGCCTTCTGGGTTCACGCCATTCTCCTGCCTCAGCCTCCCGAGTAGCTGGGACTACAGGTGACTGACGCCACGCCCGGCTAATATTTTTTTTGTATTTTTAGTAGAGACGGGGTTTCACCATGTTAGCCAGGATGGTCTTGATCTCCTGACCTCGCGATCCAACCGCCTTGGCCTCCCAAAGTGCTGGGATTACAGGTATGAGCCACTGCGCCTGGCCATGACTTTCAGTTCTTTAAACTTTACTGTGATTTGGGACAAGGCATTGCTCATTTTTTTCTGCTTCTTAAGATATATTGGGAAGCAATGCTTTTTATTTTTTGCTTTTTGCTTCCATAAAGCAAATAATTCAGTGATTATATTAACGGAAAATAAGAAGCATATCGTTTTCTTGACTTATAATCAGCAAATATTTTATCCAGGAATACCTGAAGCATTAAGATCCATTTCATATATATAGTTCTACCTATAGTCTGACATTTCCTTAACTGGCTACTGAGTAAAAGCTTGGATTCTAGAATAAGACAGCCTGGTTCTACCACCTAGGCATTGTGTGAATTTGAGCAAGTTACTCAAACTCTGACCTTATCTCCTCGCCTGTAATGTAAGTATAACAACCATTAGCTACCTCTGAGGGATCCTGTGAGGATTAAGTTAATACATGGAAAGGATTTCAAATAGCACCTGGTATTCCATAAGTGCACAATAAATATCAACTATTATTATTGTATGATGCCCTTATCTTTCGTTTGGTAATGAAAATTTTGTTATACTGATCTTTGGTTAACACACCATTTTCAGATTAAAGCCTGAGCCAGTCTGTAATGCCTTTGAGGGCACAGAATTTATATCCCTCAGATGGGCTATTCGTTGTTTAGCTCAGTACCTGGTGTTGGGTGACTATTTCTAGATGTTTCTTTCTGAGATTACTCTTAGGCTGAGTTGCTAATTTGATTATCTACAATATGATTTTAGCTTCTGGGACTCACTGTAATGGTGCAGAGACATCCCTTGAGTAATGGAGCTGATTCTCTAGCAGAACTGATTCTCCAGCAAAACTTCTGCCGGGCCCTATCTCTACCTGGGGGGAAAGGGGAAAGCATGAACTAAGGACAAGGATTATGCTAGTCTGGTTGGGGTAAAGGCTTTGTTATGGGGAAGGTGCGGTAGGGATTGCGACTAGATGATAGAGGACCTTGACACTGCATGGGCAAAGCCATTGGATTCTGTTCTTTACAGTATGGAGAAAAATAAGGGAAAAGAGGGGCATCTTTCCGTAGGACCCAGAGTCTGAGTCCAATCTGTTTATACTCACAAGTCTCCTGATTCTTGCATTTTTAAATTTGATTCATTTCTTTCTGAGTTGCAGTATGTTGGAGGGCATTGTTTTCACATTTCCGCTAATAACCAAGAGGCCTGGTCCTTGAGGAAAAAATGTGGGGGGCAGATAGTTCTTCCACAGTCCTGAAGTCATCATATACAGATGGTGGCCTCTTTTGTTCCTGTAGTGTTGGCCTTGGCCCCCAATGATTTTTTGTAAAATTTCTGTTCTTTAGGAGCCCCCACAATTGAGACTTGACTGTTACAGACACATGATTATGTAGATGATCATTATTCAATCCTTTAAGGATAGAAAATGTTATTTTTATGAGTAGTTATTTGCTAGGCTATACATACTACATACACATGCAAAACAGATGCTCTGTATTTTCTAAGTACTGTCGTCAGAATCCCTGAGAGTTGTGCCTAGCAGTAAGTGGCCATAGTAGTCTAAAAGGTTAATTATTTTATCAGCTAAAGAAGTTCTCAAGCATCTTCCAGAACAGACATGTCCATATGACAATCTTGCTGGATAATGACGGGAAACATTTCCATTAATAATATAGTGTGGGAACTGGGAGGCAACTGAAATGAGGTTAAAGGATAAGGACAAAATGCCAGAAGGACGTAGTTAATCAAAAGGCTATCTAATTTTTATTGTGTTTGCAACAAATTCTGTGGAGATTTTATAAACCATCTCAGACAGAAAATGGCAGAAATTAATTATATCCAGCTCTGTATTTTCACAGTTTGTTCATGCCCTCTTTTTAGCCCTTCCACGTCATGTTACAATTTCATATCATGTCAATCAAGTTATATCTGTCTTCCCTACTAGATTGCTGATCCTTTACCTTGGAGATGGACCACTTATTTTGTGGTCCCCAGCACCTGACATAAGAATGGCACATAGTAAGTGCTAAAATGCCTGATTCTTGCTGATTGAGAATCTGTACTTATGAAAGTTGATATAAAATAATAGATGTTTGCCACCAGTCAGTAGTGGCAGCAGCTTAAAAGAAAACAATCCTCATAACAGAGAGTCTGCTTTAGAAACTGAGTATTCCACAGGGGCATGGTCAGCAGTGACGGGGGCTGAAACTGACATGTGATCTATTCTCTGTGACTAAGAAGTAGATCTACTAGGTTACATCCACAAATTATGTCATGTGGCATTTTGGTGAAAAGTATGTATAAATGACATAAGAGGCTGACACAGGCTTAGGAGTGGATCAGGACTGCTCTTCCCATGGAGACTGACTGAGTTCCTTCACGAGACAGCAAAGAGGCAGCAGTTGGAGTAGAAATCGGCTGCAGCTTTGTCCCATGTCCAGAATTCCTGGGGTCCCTAGAACTACTAAATACAGGGTAGCGCTCTGCTGTCGCTGGACTGGACTGGAGGTGGTCTGGGAAGCCCACGTGAAAATGCTCCCCCAGGAGTTCTTGCCTCAGCTCATTCCTGTCATTCCACACATACTCTCGGACTCAGACAGTCTTTGGGTCCTGCCCTGCTCCATGGCGTGAGAATACATGTCCTGCCTACAGTTGTGCCCTGGGGTTAGGTATAGAAAACCTGTTGCAGGCAATGATAGGCAAAGGAAAGGGAACTAATCATTATAGCATGCTCTAACAGACTCAAACTGAGATTCACTCACATTCTGTCCACCATTTCCATCTTCACCACCAGCTCTAGTCTCATCCACCATCACCCATATGTTAATGGTGCTTGCTATGTGCTTAGGTGCTGTGTGATGTTCTTGATGGAGATTGCTGCATTGAATCCCGACAGGGACCTTGTGGAGGAGAAGGACCCCATCCATACCTCTAGGATCATGGCAAAATTGGTCGAGTCCAGAGAGCAAGTGTTCTATCAAAGAATAAAAAATTAGGCTGGGCGTGGTGGCTTATGCCTGTAATCCCAGCACTTTGGGAGGCTGAGGCGGGTGGATCACTTGAGGCTAGGAGTTTGAGACCAGCTGGCTATCAAGGTGAAACCCTGTCTCTACTAAAAATACAAAAATTAGCATGGTGTGGTAGCACATACCTGTAATCCCAGCTACTTGGGAGGCTGAAGGACGAGAATCACTTGAACCCGGAGGCAGAGTTTGCAATGAGCCATAATTGCACCACTGCAGTCCAGCCTGGGCCACAGGGTGAGACTCTGTCTCAAAAAAACAAAAACAAAACCACAACAACAAAAAAACCCAAAACCCAAAATTAATTAAGAAACAATCTAGAATGGCCTACTCTTTGTACAGCTGGATGCTAATGGCAGAGTGCACTCTCGAAGCTCACTTGAGGTTTAGAAAGCAATGTAGCAGTAAGGGACATTTAAGCAGGAGAAAAATCTTATGATTTATGTGTTTTCCTCTTTTCATTTAAAAAGTGCAGATGCTGATCAGGATAAAAACCACACAAGCAAACTCTGGTCCAAAATGTCATTTTACTTCAGTCTCTTTAGTGTTATACAGTGTGGTTGTAAGATATGCTGAAATGGAAATTTAATGCTACTGTATCCTGAGATGTATTTACATGGTATTTTTGTAGTCTGTGCATGTACCTTCTGCTTATTACCAAATAAGCTGTATATTCATCATTGTTGGTTCAATCTAAGACTGATACTGACATTGAAAAGATGAAGCAAGATTGTATCTCAGAGTAAAAACATGCAGGGAAGAAAATGGAAACTCAGAAGTAAATACTGATATCTGTGAATAAAGAAGCAATTTTCAGTTTGCTTTACATGATTCTTAAGGATTGTATCATGTTTATATCTGTGTATGTTATTTATCACTACAAAACTCGTGAATGCTTGTTTAATACCTTCAGATAAAGGTGCAGTTTTAGTGAGGACTTGATTCTTCCAGAAAAGCAAAGAATAATAAGAAAAAAACCCAAACAAACAAATGCATCAAATGACTGCCTGTATTGATTGCAAATAGCTTTTTTCCTCAAAAGAAGGTTTCTGGTTGTTGCAAACCTAGTATCAAAGGATTGATTTGTTCAGAGCTGTCATTTGTGGAATTTGCCTCTAAATTATGGGCTAAAGATATGTCAGGACATGAATAGAAATATTCTCTTCCTGAGAAACACATATTCATGTTCCATGTGTGATTTGAAACATGCCTATTTGCCCCATAGGTTCTTAATTTTCCTCCATTAACCTCTTCAACTTTTTGTTTCAGATTTACAAAGAAATGAAATAGAACTGAATTTTATATGAAAATGGTAGGAATTTCTTTCTTTCTTTTTCAGAGGTGAATTTTTTTTTTTTTTTTTTTCCCCCAGAGAGATTTGCTGCCATCTGTATCTTTGGGCTTCACCTAGCTGATAAACAGCTCATGGATTATACAAACGTCACTGCATTTCCATTACCTACCCTCGACAAATTACAGCCTGCCAATAGAACTGCCATAGCGGAGAGCAGGCATTTGGTTTTAAACTGTCTTCTTTTTCTCAAATCCTTAAAACAAGACCATGATTCTTCATATTCAGTGGAAATAGAAAATGCTCAGGCTCAATGCACACAAGGAAATTGCAACCTCGCTCTCTCCCTCCCCGCCCCCTTTCGTTTGAAAGCGACTCTTTACTGCATTGCAGTCCTGCAGAGCTCTCAGGGAGCCGGAACCACAGGCTG